GTGGTCTGCTCTTCCTCTCGTATCCCCTCTGTTTTCTTTAAAGCAGATCACGCAGCCCCGCAAAGAGCGCTCGGGAGAAGTGTCAGGAGGAAGTCGTCAGCTTCTCGGCGTGGGCGGCTGGCTTCAGGTAGGCGGCCCGCGACCCCGAGGTCGCTGCCGCCGTGGACGGAAGAGCGGGATGACGGCGACGACGTGGAGGACGCGTAGGGGAGGGAGACGCGAGAGGGAGACGAGAGAGGGATGGATGGGGGCGAGGGAAAGAAGGGGGCATAGAGAGAAAGAGAAGCGGGGGGAGCGGGGGAAGGAGCAGGGGAAGGATGAACTCACTAAGATAGATATAACGATGTGTATATACAGTATATGTATGTGCCAGCGTGCACTCCCCACACACTACCTTACTGCAGTATTGGTGTGCACAATATGTGGTACAACCACGTGGTGCAAGCTACGCGGTACAAGCTATGTGGTGCAGGGTATGCGGTGCAATCCACGTGAGGAAATCTACAACGTGCCATCTGCGCAGTACAAGTTGTAGGGTGCAAGCGACGTGGTGCAATGTTAAGCTATGTGGAGCAGGCTATTTGGTGCAAGCTATGTAGTGTAAGCTATGTTGCCAAATATGTGAAGCAGTCTACGTGGGGCAAGCTACATGATGTGAGCTATGTGGTGTACGCAATGTGGTACAAACTAGGTAGTGCACGCAATATTGTACAGTATACGTGGCGCAACTAAGCAATGTTCCCTATTGGGTTGTCCACTCCACTGCTCGCGCAATCATCACGCCATCCAACTCGCAGCTCGTTTTGCACAACCCATATGGCCGCGATTGCAATGACTCCTTGGCACTTGCTGGCGCGTCTCTGCGGCTGCGCTAGCGCGCGCAAGCTCGCGCGCAGAGCGTCCAGCTGGACTGGCACAACTGATGCGGCGCGATGTCGCTTGCCCATGGAAATTCCTCAGCTCATCTCAAAGGCCGCGCTGGCGCCCGGGCATTTCGATGCGGGTTAGTGGCTCGGGCGGGCGCGAAATCATGATAACGTCGACAACGACGGAAACGATGATGTTAGTATCGATGGTGGTGGCGGTGACGACGATGACGACCACAAGGCCAACGACGGCGCCGATGCTGGTGACAAAGGGTAACAATGATGATGCCCATGTGTCGATGACGCAAGTGCTTGAGCAATGATGGAAGCAATGGCGGCGATTGCCGGTGCCGATGACGTGATGCGGTGGCACTGATGGGGGTGATAGTGAGGAAGTGCGCACGCAAATGCAAGAAACCTGGCAGGCTTGTTGAAACAACAAGTTGATTGAATATGTCGTTGAAGAGCTCGATCTTGAAATGCTTGGGCAACCAGTGGTTTCTGGACGGTTCTGACTCGCGCGTGCGGCGGCGCACGCGTGGCCCGAATGATATTACTTGACACGGGCTCGCGCACTGGACTCATGCTGGATCAACATACATGCACCGCGTGGTGAGGTGAGAATGGGGATTATGGACTCAGTTGCTAATCACAGGCTGCCCGACGATGTCCGCACATACGGGCGGGCAGTACATCTGCCGGATGTGTGATGTAAAGCCTGAGGTGTGTTGATCTGTTGTATACTCATGCATTGAAGCTTTTGCAGGACCCTCTACGTGTTTGGTATGACATCGACATGTGCGCGATTAAGGACGTTGTATCACGTTTCCAGAAAGCTGTTGAATAATGAACGTTTTCGATAAACGGGTGCGCGCGCATAGTATCACGGTGGTGATTTTGGATAGGAGCCATAAATAATCTAGGGTCCGAAAGCAGGTGGACCACCATTTGAGGCCCGGCCACGGATATCCCCGCCGACTTCATCCGATAAGAAGTCCTCCAGGTTCTGAAGCCTCCTGGGCGCATTCCTTAATCAACGCCCCCATCGTATGTGACACGGGGGAGGGGGGGCGGGCGATACCGATTGGCCTGGGATGGTCTGCACTCACATGGAAAACGAGCAACGCGGCAGGGCAACAGGTAATTTTTGCACTGCCCCTGGGGGAACCGAGAACTCCGAGCGGGTGGTGGTGGTAGAGTCCTTCTCTCCTTCGGGGAGGACAGCCTGCGTGGTGCCGGCTCTGGGGCGCCCAGGGGACGCCCACACTTGAGCAGGGACCGACCGTCCCGGCATTCCTATAGTCATACCGCGAAATGTTCTTAGAACCCAGAACTGTTCTAAGAACAGAAACAATGTTCTCAGAACTTCAGCCTTATGTGTTAAACAGAGACAGCCCCAGCCAGAAATGTTCTAAGAACATTCCGTGGAAACCACAGAAGGTTCCTAGAAAATTGCTCGGTGGGGCGATAGGCGAGCCAGGACGCTCCGCCACTGCTCGACACACGCGGGCACCCGTCGAGACCCCGACGTGCCCCTCTGCCGCGCGGGGGGCGCCCCCGAGACGCCCCCGGGGCGGGCACCACGCGGCACCCCCTGGCCGTCCCCCCCCCGCAGCGCGGGGCGTGCCCACGGGCGGGCACGCCGAGCGAGGCCTCGGCAGAGCGCCCCCCAGCCCACGAGGCGCCCACGGGGCGCCCACGGGGCGCCCACGGGCGAGCTGCAGGCGAAGCCCCAGCTTTGACCCCCCCCCCCCCAGCGCGGGGCTCGCGCCACCGAAGCCACCAACCCCTCGCGAATGCATCTTGGCCCTCGCGCGGAGTCCCGGCAGGGCTCTTCACGTCGGCGCCCAGACGTCCCAGCACGGCTCTGGCAGGTCCCACTCTGGGAGAGGGGGGCCGGCGGCATGGGGCCGAGGCCCTTACGGACATTCTGCGACGGGGTTCCCTGCAGTCCCGGTCAATGCCTCGGGGCAAACTGGTCGTCCATCCTGAGTCGCGGTTTGACCGTCTCGGCGTCCGAAAACGGCCCCTGCACGCTGAACATGTGTTTGAAGACGTCACACGTCTGGATCAGGACCACTCACGCTCATGGCGATGCGATCAAGAACTTTTGCTTGGCGTGTCGCAGCGGCGGCCTCGCTATGCCCTGCGAACTGACAGCGTGTCGCTCCGCTCCGCGTGGCAGGAGGCTCGAAAGTCTCGAGACGTTGACGCCTGGGGACTGGCACGTGGCTAGCGTGTCGCGCCAGAGCGTGGTGGGCAAAAACTGGCAGCGCGACAAGCTAAGAGTAAATTCCCGACTGCATCTCCCCCCACCATCCCCCGCTGCGCCTGCTGAGTCATCCGCAATGGCGACGGCGGCGGCCTTTCTGTGCAGCAGCCACGTGCCCACCGACGGCCGCTGGAACCATTGATCAGCGCCTGAAGGGCCAGTCGGGAGGCTTCGTCGTCGTCGTTGTCGTCGTCGTCGTCATCGTCGTCATCGTCATCGTCGTGGTAGTCGTCGTCGTCGTCGTGGTCGTCCCCCGTCTCCACTACTTCCTCTTTCCTCCTGCTCCTGATGCACCCCCTTCTCCTCCTCGTCATCATCAACCACATCATCCTCATCCTCACCCTTTCCGTCCTTTCATCCCTCCCCGTCCTCTGCTTCTCTCTGCTCATCCTCATGTTTTCCCATCCTCCTCATCCTCCTCCTCATCCTCTTACTCCTCCGCCTCATCCCCACCCTTCTCTTTCTCCTCCTCCTCCTCCTCCTCCTCCTCCTCCTCCTCCTCCTCCTCCTCCTCCTCATTCTCCTCCTTGAACACCTCCTCCTCCCCCTCCTCCTCACCCTTCTGGCCCTCCTTTTCCTCCTCCTCCTCCTCCTCTTCCAACTCCTCCTCCTCCTCCTCCTCCTCCTCCTCCTCCTGCTCATCCTCCTCATACTGACTCATACTCGTCCTCCTCCTCGTCCTCCTTCACATCCCTTGTTGTCCTCCAAACTCCATTCCACATCCACCTCGTCCTCGTCATCACCATCATTCCCCTGTCTCACTCTTCAGACATAACCTGCATCGCCATTATCATCACCATCATCATCAGTACCACCGTGGCTATCGCCATCAGCGAGCATCATTATCACCATCGCCACCACTAAGACCATCACCATCGCCATCACAAACACCACGTCCACTATCATCGCCATCATCATCATGAACAACACCACCACCACCAGCATCATCACCCTCATACTCATCATAGTCACCACCTTAGTTCCCATCATCATCGCCATCATTCTCACTTCCTCACCTCACCCAGCACGCCCACTCCTGCGCGCGGGAACGCCAACGAAAAAGCACCATAAGCAGCAAGAAGGGGAGGCGGATGAGGAGGACGAGGAGTAGTCATGTAATACAGGGGAGGAGGGAACGGGAGGAGGGGAGGGAAGGACTGCGAGGCATGCGGGCCTGAACGACAGCAGAAGGCTTACGAGAAATGAAAGGAAAAGCCGCCCCCGTCTCTCCCTCCCCGCGACCGTCCTGCTGGGTCGGCTCGGGCACCGTCGGGGGGAGCATGAGGCGGGCTGACTCGGCATCTCAAACATGCTTGGGCGGGCCGCCAGGGTGGGGGGCACAAACCATTACGAATTCGTTTCAGATTGTGCTGGCACTTTGGGGGGGGGAGAGCCCCCCAGGGAACGAATTCGGCCGCTGCCACAGAGGGAGCCCCCCAGGGGCCCGAAAGAGACCCACAGCGTCCACGACGACCACGACGACGCTGGCGCCGGCGCCGGCGAAGACGGCCACGACGGCAGTGGCCGCGGCGGCGGCGACGACGACGACGACGACGTCGACGACGACGGTGCCCCAGATCCCCGACGTCATGATTTTTGAAGAACTCTGACCCCCAGGATCTCGACCCATCACCCATGACCACGGTTTCATCCTGGATCGTCCTTTGACGGGTCCCGAGGCCCAGTCGGGGCCTCCAGAGCCCGAAAACAGCGAAAACCCTCCCGTCGTGGATGTTTCGTGAATCGAGGGGGTCTGGAGCCGACGAGGACGACGCCGACGACGACGGCGCACGCGGGGGGCTCCGGGGCGCCTCGGGCCGCGAGCCCCGCGGCCGCCGCGGGCGCGGCGGCGGCGCACGCAAGCGCCTCGATCGCCGAGGGGCAGCGGCCGTCGCCGCCGCTTTTGCGCCACCGTCTGCGCTGCGGTCGCCCTCGGCGTGGCCGCCGCCGCCGCGCCGCCAGCGCAGAGGCAGTACAGTCGAGGTGCACACCAGAAGGAACGCTAAGCAAGGAAATTAGACCCCCTTCTGATCCCCAGAAGCGCCGGGGCGCACGAGGAGTGATAGAGAAGCGGCCACGGTAGGGCCCAAGGAACAACGAGCCCCTTCCGAGCCCAAAGCTGTCCTTATTTGAGCGTCTTGGCCGCAGGGCGACACACAGAACATCTAAGGGTATCCTCCCCAGGATGCACAAGCACTCCCAACAAACACGAAGAACATTAGGGTACCATCCCCCGAGCCGACCTCGATCTTATACCTCGGCCCGACCGTAGGGCGAGAATGTGATGTAATGATATGATTTGCTCAGGACACGTTGCACGAGTATCTAGCGGACTCCTTTTCTGCAGCCCGCGTGGGACCTTAGGAAATGCAGGATGTCATGATACGTCTCATCATCGTGACCTTAAGCTCCTCTGAACAGAAGCACGACGGGGTTGCCCAGCGGCCATTGCTGGGCGTGTGCGCTTGGGAGGCGGAGGCCTCTTGAGCTGGCGGCGGAACTCCAGGCCGAACTCGGCTTGGTCGCCGCGGGCGTCGTCGGCGTCGGCGTCGGCGCCGTCGTCGATGGTTACGTGGTCGCCGTCATCGTCGGCGTCGGCATCGTCGTCGTGTGCGTGGTCGTCGTCGTCGTCGTCGTCCTCGTCGGCGCCGTCGTCCTCGTTTGCGTGGTCGTTTGCGTGGTCGTCGTGGTGGTGGTGGTCGTCGTCGTCGTCGTCTGCGGCGCCGGCGACGTCGGCGCCGAGGTCGGCGTCGGCGTTTTCGCCGTCGTTTGCGTCGTCGCTGGCATCGGCAGCGTCAGTGTCGTCCGTCGGAGTCGGCGGCCCGATCGGTGGCGTCGATCGTTCCAGGTTCGAGGATCGAGGTGCGAGGCCCCTGGATTGTGCTTGAACCTCTTCGGGCCTCGGAAAGCCTCTCGCTCCCGCGGCCAGACTCTTCTCGAAAGTTAGCCAGAACGCACCCCTGGAGGCGCGGCGGGGTCGTCGGCAACGGCGGCGACGTCGGCGATGTCGCCAGCGCCGCCGACATCGTCGGCGGCGCGGCGTGTCGTCGTCCGCCGGTTCCCTCGACGGTGGAGACCCCGCCAACCCTCTAGGCGCAGGTGGTTTTGCGAGTCAGTGTTCCCAATCTCCTTCTTCCCCTTCTGGGAAGGTCCACCTCTCCCCATACTCCCTTTCCCTGGCTCTCGACTGGGGGTGGGGGCCACGGGCCCTTGGATGGCCCAAGACGGCCTAAGATCGGTCTAAGAAGGCCCCAAGTGGCCTAAGATGGCCTTCAATAAGGTTCAAGATATCACTCACGGCTCAAGATAGCTCCCAACATAAAGGCCGCCCCATGACGACTCCAAAATGCCACAGCGCCTTCCCAGGACGCCCCCTAGAGGCCCAAATCTATGAAACCTGAAAAAGATCCATGTGTGTGATGCCTTCTCGCCTTTCCCTTCCCATTCACCCTCCTTCCCACTTCCTCTCTCGAGGTCTCCCCAGGTTTCCAGAGGTCTCCGGAAGCCGCCGAAGAAGTCTGGGGAATCCGAAAGGTACCGATACCGCTACCCCCCGGACCTCTCCCAGGGTGCGTTCTGACCAGAAGTTCGAAACGAATCCAGCGGTGGCGACGAGAGCCTCCCAGGAGGCCCAAAAAGGGGAAAACGGCCGGAGGGTAGAGGTATGGGAGATGTGTGGGTACCTTTTTCCTCCTATGACAGCCCCCACACGGCGACGCGTCCCCAGAGGCCCCCAGATGCCTCTGGAGGCCCAGAAAGAAACTCAAACCGTCAGAGAGCTCAAAGACCTCTTTAGATCACGAGCGGTGAACATGTCCATCTCAATGCCCTCGCGGGCCGGACACCGAGTCACGCTCACACGAGCACGCGACCCAACGAACACATTCCGCGCGGTCCGGTCTTTTGGAGAGCCGTCTGTGGCATCAACCATTCTCAGAGAGCCTCGCATGAGGCCGAAGGCCTTCTGAGCCCTCTGAGCACTGGCGCCCCCTCTCACTCCCCCTTGGCGCGCCGCCGACTGCCGCCCACGAGACCGGGGGAACAAAAAGCTACCCAGACCGCTACCCCACGGACCTTTCCTCGCGTTCTTTCTGACAAGGATTTCGAAGCGAACGCAGCCGTTGTGACAAGGTAAGGGCGGCGGGAACCCTATGCCGCTGATCATGATCTCCTGGGGATGAAAAAGTGTGAGGTTTCGGGGGGGGACAGTTTTCCCAGGCAGCGCGGATTTACGGATGTACGGTGTACGGATACACGGTGTAATAGCAGTAGTAGTGGCAGCCGTAGATGCAGAAATAGTCGTAGTAGTAGTAGTAGTAGTAGTAGCAGCAGCAGCAGCAGCAGCAGCAGCAGCAGCAGTAG